CTCTCTGGTTGTTTCTCTCTGGTTGTTTCTCTCTGGTTGTTTCTCTCCAATTTTCTCCTGTTGTTTCTCTCCGGTTCTTCCTCTCCTTCCAGTCCAAGTTGACGCATTGAGGTATTTCACCTTGTAAGGCTGCAGAGCTGAAACCCTCCCGAGTCAGAAAAAAGAAAAGATAAGGAAAACTATTTTCCTGCTGGAATGTGTTTTTCAGCTGAGCGAGCTGTGAGGCTGAAGATGTTTGGTTTGAGATGCTTCCAGACTTTTAGTTTATCGTCACCGGAAAGCTACCGTCAGCTCTTATGTTTCATCTTCAGATGGGAACTCATCATGGATCAAACAGAGATGAAGAATCAGTTCAGAAATGGCTCTAACTTTTATAATGTTACAGATAAAGAGTTGAAGTTCATGTGTTGGTCGCTGAGAGTCTTCCTCACCACCTGCTCTGAGCTCGGATAGCTCTGGCAGCCATTTTGAATTAAATTTCCTTGCATTATTGTTATTCTTCCTAAAACATGAAATCTAACGTCCATTTTCTTCTCCATCGTCTGATGCTGAAGATAACCACAGGGTTTACATCTCCAGTTGCCTTTGTTGAAAAATGACTCTGGAAATTGCATTAAACTTGGATAAACTTTTTTTACTAGATTTTGGAAGTAAAGGTAGTGACATAAAACAGAATAAAATCAAGCTACATTATGAAACGAGGTAAAATACTAAAAAGAGGAACATGAATTAATGAATACATGATTGATTTCCTTTAGGACAAATTTAAAAATTGTTTTTAAAAATAGAATAACTGTCACCTTCTCAGATAAATTCTGGTAGTTTATTCCATAAACATGTTTCTCTAATCGGTATCACCTTTCATCCAGTTTCCATTGAATTCACAAGAAAACGGCACACAGAAAGCTGGTTTACTGTTCAAACCAACAATTCTGCTCCTTTCCCCACTGATCCATTCACACGTTCCAGCTCCAACGTTATTTAACGTTGTTTAAAGTGCCGCTCATATTCTCAAACCCACTTGGATGCTGATGATACCCTCCTGTATACATCAAGCCCACCTCTTCTTCCAGCACAGTTTCAACAATCTTCAATATGCTTTTATGCTCTCCAAATATGGATAAAACTAGATTAATGACTTTAATCTTAATTTACCTTCAACGTCATGTAAGTCTAATATTATCACCCAACATGGCAACTTGTCAGTTTCTACAAGTATCTGGTTGGACAGTTCACTCACTGACCTTCATATCAACACAGCGCTCCTCAAAGTTAAATAAGAATTCATTGGTGTTCCAATGAAAATGACTGTTCTCCACATCTGAGGTCGGCACTTTTTTCATACATCCAACTTCAGTAATTCTGCACGAACGCTAGCTCTATTTCATTGTGGGTGCAGCCCTTTAAGCCACGCCCACTAGTGGGTTTAACCCCCGCGCAGTGCGCCAACACTGAAAATATCTAGACCACGCCCACCCACTGTGTGGGCCCCACCTCCGTCTGTATGAATCGACTACGGACACGTCGTTCTACTCCCCATTTTATTCAGCCAGCGAAGCAACACATGAAAAAGAAAAACAAGAACAGAAAAAGATGTTAGCGGACGGGATGTGTCCGAACGGCACAGTCTGAACCTGTGGTTACAATTCGTAACCTACGTTTCTGTTCAGTGTAGCTGCGTTTAAACTACCTGCCTGTCCTGGTTTATGTACAGAAAGTACCGTGTTGCAGTTTTATTCACCCGTCAAAAGGCGTGAAAGACATATTTCCTGTGTTCTAATGGTCTGGAAGTCTTGAATCTCCGAAGGTTTACGTTAAATTACACATAAAAGTTACAAAATCACTACAGGGCTGGGTCATTCTGTCACCGCCACGAGGTTACAGTAATGGCACCGAGCGTCGGTTAAACTCCCGCCTTTCTTCAGAACTGGCCACACCTCCCGGAAGTAGTCGCCACCGCCGACGTATGAGAAGTCCCTATACTAGATCATGTGACCAGCTGTCAACCAATGATGTCGCACGATCTCGTGTTCAAAGTGGAAGGTGCGTGTCTGTTGGGAATTGTAGACAAAACCCCGTAACAAACAGTCCGCCTTGTTTTAACACACGACGCTATGCTAGGAAAGATAAATACAAATAATCACATATTTCAGTAAGATTATGTATAATTCTGATAAAAGTATACTTCAGGCGGGACGTGTTCTAGTATGGTCTGTAAACTTTCTCTTCGTCCGCACAAACCTTCTGATCCAAGTCATGAAACATCGTGCACATATGCATCACCGCATACAATTTCCATCACTCTCAAGGTCAAGGTCACAAATCAGGGTCATATGTTAAAGCAGGCCTTTGATTTTAGATTGCTGTTTGTTGACGGGCGTGTATCGTGCCGTACGCGGTACTCTTGTTTTATTTACAGCTTGTTTGAGTGTACTGTATGTGTTTCCTGTAAATCTGGATCTTTTTGTTTGTGTTGTTTGTTTCTCAGCCTCTGGTCCAGGTCGTTGTTCTCAGTCAACGAACCTGGATCAATAAAAAAATCAACTTTACAAAACTTCTCAGAACGGCCAAACCCGGTCGTCTCCATAAAAGGCAGCTGGGATGTTTCTTGGGCCACATCACGGCGGTTATTTTTACTTTTTCCAGACGTTCCCCCCTCAGCGAGGGAACACGCACATCCACCCTGAAACAGCACCAACGGTTCGGATCTCTTGAAAAGAATCAAATAAATAAAGGTCCGTGTGTAAAACTGAGTGATGGATGTAAGAAGATAACGTCTGTCCCGGATGTCTCGTTGTCAGACCGTATATTTAGACGTCAGCTGTTCAGAACCAGGCGGGCACTCCGTGTCCACAGGAGGGAATGGTGAAGACAATAAAGAGGTCCGGTTGGGACGTGAGACCCTGTCCGGCTGGCGCGCCAAATACCATGACCCGTCCGTTCCACCAGGACAGGGCTGTTGGGTCAGTTGACTGAGGCGGCCATCTTGAAGAGATCCATCCGGTGAATCTTTCCTGCAAGTTTTATTAAACTCATCCTGTGGTTCAAAGAATATTTTACTAACAGACATCTCCGCGGTCGATCCCGCTGCATCTGTAAGATCCGAATGTGTTGGAGATCACTTTCAGCTCCTACCACACCAAGGTTCAGCAAATTATATCAGATTTTTTTTGTTCAGGGTCAGTTGACTGTGGCGGCCATCTTGGATTGGTTTGACTTTTACTAAATCAACGAATGAATTGAGAAAACTTCGGCGGCGGGGGATACAAAGTCACAAAAATAAAATGAAGAAATCCAGGAACAAATAAGAAGTTCTGCAAAAATGTCTTTTTGATCAGACTTTAATGATTCTTTTGTTGGATAAAAGGGTTTGATGAACGGCTTTAAGTTTAAAAACTGTTTTAAATCAAAGCTTAGATTCGCAAAGTTGGATATTTTTTACCGTTCACTTCCATTAAAAGTGAAGTAGATGAAAAATTCTGGACTTGAATGGGTTCAAACTTGGTCAGATTTACTTTGTGAAACATCTCCTGAACCAGACGAGCAAAGAAATCTTTATAAAAATCAGGTTTTAGGACTCGAGTTCTGTTCGGATGATCCAGCAGACACAAATTTGGTTCCAACTCTGAGCTGGGATGTCCTGCCTCTTCATCCTCTCCCTCCTCCTCCTCAGAGTGTTTTCAGCCTCAGAGAGCGCTGCATGTCTCACATTTTGTCCTCAACAACCAGCTCTGCTCAGACCTGCCAGGTAAGACCCAACACTTCCTACATGTTTTGTTTGTTGTTAATGAAACGGATCAAACGAGCGGCGTGTGGTAAAAATAAAACCTTAGATCAGATTAATTTTAGCTCGGGTGAAGAGCTGAGAGGAAACACGTTTAACTTCGAGATGCTGAAGAGGAGCGCATGAATCACTGCGCCCCATAAAAAAGTCGTTGTTGCGTTCAAGTAAACACAGATGTGAAGAGGAGCAGCCGGGGATGGAAACTGGACCGAACCTCCCTGAGGGATAAACACTAATAACAGCTGAAGAGCTGGAGACTCATATCAGCCGAATCTAATCACTGATTCCAGAATACAGCCAAAAACACCGGGAAACATTTCTGTCCGACTCGTCCTCACCTGGTTGGACCTAAAGGACATTTATTGACAGGAAGCTGAACGCTGAAGGTCACCTTGAGCAGAAGGAGCATATTGTGCTGAAGAGCTGATTCATGGTGAACTTTGACCTTCCACAATGACCTCTGAAGAAAAGACCGAACTTAGACCAACAACAAAAAAAAAAAAAAACAGATTCTGGAAAAGTTGGGACGTGTGGAAAAAAAACAAAAAACTTCAGAATCAGCTTTATTGTCACCGAAGCAAAGAAATTACATTTAGAGAATTTATTACATTTAGAGAAGGCGATGGTTCACAAATCTCATAAAGCCTGTATTTTAATCATGATGGACCCTGAAGACCTCAGGAGACCAGTTGTTAGAGGCTTTAGAGGACCTGAGGAGACCAGTTGTTGGAGGCTTTAGAGGACCAGAGGAGACCAGTTGTTGGAGGTTTTAGTGGACCTGAGGAGACCAGTTGTTGGAGGTTTTAGAG